CAGACAACACGGATGTCGTGGTATTTGTCGACCGGTTGAGCAAGATAGCTCATTACCATCGACGGAGTTAGTGCAGCAACGCTGTTTGTAGATCGTGTTTTTCGACAACACGGACCCCAGAGTCGATTGTCTCTGATAGAGAACTCCGTTTCACGGGAAAATTTTGGTCGACTATCTTTAAGGTGCTCGGCACCAAGTTGGATGTGTCGACAGCGGATCATTGTAGACCGATGGTCAAACCGAAAGGGTGAATCGCGTCATCGATGACGTTCTTCGCATCGTCTGCGCTGAGACGCCGAGGCGCTGGAGCGCCATGTTGCCACTCGTAAAGCATGCACTGAACAATGCAGTGCATTCGTCTACCGGCTACACGCCGTTCTACTTGAACGACTGATTCACCCTCGCGTCCCGCCGACGCCGCCATTCCATGACTCAGGGCTTGGTGGGGGAGGAATACCGAACGGAAGAATTTACTTGACTAATTTTTCAGTATGATAACGCATAAATCCACTTTGCTCATTAAACCAGGAGTTTTATCACTGTAAAGTGGTTACTTCCTTTCATAGCCCGCTGAGATCCCAGAGATAACGTCATTTTATGGTTTGCCACCACACTTGTTAACAGCATGTTCAGTGCATATCTTCTCGTGTTGTTCAGGTTTTGCTTTGTCAAAGTGATTATTAGCTTGCGTTATTATTAATGTGGCTATGATTTTTATTAATGCGGCTATGAGTTCGCACCAACATATCGAGACTTTTGTTTAATATTTTTGCACAAGATATAGTCTATACATTATGTTCTTTCTTATCAGCTGTATTATCTTTTTTCACTAACGCCTGGTAGGGTTCAGCAGCGTCATATCGCGATGTTCAGCAACAACAATAACTTAAAACAGCAGTAGATGAGGCCTTCCTTTTCATAAGAGATTTTCAACACTCTCAAAGTACAATAGAGGTTAGGCGTGGCTTTTCCACACAGGTTATCATCCCTGCAGTATTTCCCGATTGTCGGAGAAAACGGTCTCACATACAACTGTCTGGCACTCTATCAGTTCCCAATAGTAAGCGAGTATGAAAAGGCTGCTGGTACTTGCGGGTGTTGTAGGACTCTTTTCATCGGCGCATGCGGCTGTAAGTTGTGCTGATTGTGGTGGCAGAACGTGCATGCTCGATGGCTCTGGAACAGTAATTACAGGAGGGGCGACATCTTTAATTGTGAATTTCTGCAACTACGACAATTCTAAAGCACACACATACGCTTTGAAATTCGGCGTGTCACCGCTACTCGCCTGCGATGTAAATAATGGAACCTTACCCGAGCTCGCGTCACTGGTGGCGGCCGAGGGCTGTACGGCTGGTGCCTGCTCTGTGACCGTCTCTTTTAGATCGGCTCTAGACTGGGCTATCGCACTTCAAAATAATGGAGTCAGCAACGCGTTAACGGCGCAGCTCACGAATGGTGGCAGCAGTGAGACCGTGACCGTTGCTACTTTCGTGCCCATAGCGGCTGCCGTTATGAGCGTCAGTACGGCAAATATCTCTGTGTGTGCCACCGAAGTGAAAGTTGGTGGTTTGAGGCTCTCATCCGTCGCAAGCTGCAATGTGGCTGAGGTGTGTAGAGGTGCAACTACCGACACAGTGTGCTCGACAGAATTAATGAACAATGCACACGTGACTAATGTTAGCTGCAGTGGTGAGGCGTGCACGGGCAAAGTGGTGCTGAGTCAACCACTTCCTTGTGACGGCAGCGTGGGGCCAACCTCATCGCTAATTGTGGGCGTTACAGTAGCAAGCAGCACCCATTCTAATTATGTAAGTGTTGGCAGCATGGCGGCCCCAAATTTTTCGATTGCAGATACTAGTGGACTGGAACCTGAGAGTTCGAAATTCACGCTTACGACTGACACATTCTGTGCTACTTCGGAAATTTATCTTAATGCAACAACTCAAGGTAGTGACGTTGACAGTGGCGTAATAGAAGTAAGTCGTATAAACTCATCGACCAATGGAACGGTGGTAGTAGAGCTGATGTCACCGCTCAGCATTGGACTAGCAGGCAAGAGTTTTCAGTTGTCGCTTTCACAGTGCGGCGTGTCAACCAAGCGCTCGTTCATTATTGGATTCGACTCGAACAGCTCGTCTACGTCATTGGAAAGATCTCAGGAAGATGTTGCAGCAAAGTCAAGAGGGTCAGTGTCTACGCAAGAAGCAGGCGCTGACTCCGGACTTTCTGGAGGTATCATTGTGGCCATTATTATTCCGTCCGTTGCACTCGCAGGTTTTATATTCGAGTACATTTATCATACGAGACGACAACCAAAGCCGCTTGCCGAGGAATCGTCCAATGATTCACCTCGCAATGTATAATTATTTTGTGATGCGAGGATACATATACCTACTGGTATAACTCAATGTTCGCAATGTGAGCATATAATAAAGTTTTTCATCCTTCGGGTTGTGGGATCAATGCTGATGATCCCATTACTTTAAAAACAAAAAAGCTCAGATGCTTTTGATATCCTATTTTACTTTTTTAAAGGCTTCGTACAACAGCGACAGCGTCGAGTCAACACATCGTTACACATACTCATCCTTACACTCGATACTCGCTTTACCGTTAAGGCCTTCGAAGATATTGCGGTACGGTGGTCCGAAAATTATTTTTGTGGGAAGAGGAAAACATTTATTTCAATACCCACAACCTACCGAGACTTTTAAAGCAAACAGTACTAAGCGTTCAGTTAAGACCTTTTACTATTGTTTGCGAATCTCGCGAATCCTTTTAGACCGCACCATGGCTAGCTTTTTCTTTAGACCAAATCGAGTGGCCGCAGACAAAGAGTTGCTTTTAAGGTGTTGCTCGAGTTGTTGAATCTGCGTCGACAATCTGGACAGCTCAAAATCGACGGTAGCTTTTTCAGTCGAAAAGTTTATGCTTGTTTTGCTTTCAGGTAGAGCGACAAGAGCAGCTTCGTGATCTTTACCAGTAGCAAAACCGTGGGCTGCGTACGTTTCGCCGTGTCGGCGTAAGTGTGCACCACCTTTGCTACGACTTGAAGCGCTGAAAACACGTTCATCTACCTCGCCTTTACGGGCCAATGCTACCGGAATGGGTGGTACAAGTGCTGTGTCAAGTGGAAGTTTATTCTTCAGGTAGGCCACAACTTCAGCGCTACCTTTGGCAATGACACCACCTCGAACTGTACGCTGAGGGTTACCGTTCATGTAAATGGCGCTAAGATGTAGACATAAACCGAGCTCAACAGGCACTTTGGTTATGTTATTGTTCTCAAATGAAAGCGATTGAAGCAGTGGAGCGTCGTAAATTCGCCCAAGCGACCGCAACTTGTTGTCCGAAAGATCGATGACACTCACTTTTGTAAGGTGTGACCACGGGAATTGATCCAACGCCTCGATCTGGTTATGACTTAGCAACAAATTCTCAAGGGAGCGCAGCTGACCAGTCTCTACAGGTATAATTGATAGTTTGTTGCTCCGTAGATCTATTTCCTTGAGCGTGGTTCCCAATGTTGTTGAGTTTCTTAAGAAATCAGCGATAGCATCCGCTGTAAGGTAATTTTTTCGAAGACGCAACACTTCTAGACGAGGCAACGCAGCGATTGATGAATGAAGAATCTCCAGGTCGTTCTCGTCAGCAGTCAAAGTCTTCAGTATATTCAACAAGTATCCATCATGACATTAATTTGGCAATAAAAGAGCTCAGAAATGGAGGCGAAACATCAAACCTTAAGAAACATCAACTCGCCTATCACAGCTGGAAGTAGCCGTAAGTGGTTTAATGAAAGATTCAAGTGGATAAGCGTCGAACCAAAGCTAAATCGTCCTTTGCCGACCAAATCTGACGGTAAAACATATAGACAACTATTTGTGAGATCCAATGTCCTTGACGCTGCAGCATCCCGAAATTTAGTCGAGCAGTCAGATGCAAGAGGTTGACCCTCGTGAGTCCCACTGCCTTTGTAGGCTAAGCGCTCTCGTTCTATTTGAAATTCATCTCGCTCTTCCTCGAGAAATTCAGATCCATCTGGAGGAAGTCCACGCGTGCGCAAATATTTTTTCAAAGACTCGCATCCAGCGCTGACTACTGATCGGCGAATAGCTCGGAGGGGGTTCCCATAAACACTTAAGTGGTTAAGGTATTTAAGGTAGCCGAGACCTGGTGGCAGATCCGGCAGATCATTATTTGCCACATTTAATGTTTTGAGACGAAATAAACTGGCAATGGTGGCAGGCAAACTCGTTAGTTTGTTGTCGCGTAGGTCCAACACGGTAACAGAGTTTCTGAGACGTAAAATAGACAGCTCATCAACGGTCGAGAGCGTATTGTAACTGAGAAAGACTTGATCTAATTTTGCATTCCTCGGCAGTAAAGGGAAAACTGCGAGCTTATTTTGCCGTAAGTCCAAGACTTGTAGCAGGGAAAGGGTCGAGAGTATGTCATCCGTAGATACCAAAGAATTCTTATTCAGATTAAGATTCTGTAGTTTCTCGAGCCTCCCAAGCGACGATGGCAATGAGGTCAATTGGTTTGTGTGTGCGTTTAAGATCTTCAATCTCTCAAGTTCGCCAATCTGCGTCGGCAGAGCTGTGAGCACGTTTTCAGCAATGTGTAGTACCTTCATATTTTTCAGAAATATAACCGAGTCTGGCAGTCGACTGAGCTTGTTGCCAGATAAATTTAGCTCTTTCATGTTGATCAATGTTCCAAAATTCTCAGAGAGGTCTCGCCCCAGCTGATTACTTAACATTTGGCGCAATATAAGCAGTCAGAATGGTAGCTAATAGCTAATAAACTGCAAACGGACACTTACTTGCTCAGATCGAGGTAAGTTAGTGCCCGGAGTTCATACAATCGTTCGGGTAAAACTTGAAGTAAATTGTTAGCCAGCTTAATCGACGTGACTGCGGCAAGATCACCAATTTCATCCGAAATGGACGAGAGTTGATTGTGACTCAAGTCCATCTTGAACAAATCGACGCATTCCCACTTATTCTCATCCTTGCAAAAAAAATATGCGTAAAATGTGAGCTCAAACAAAATGTGGCCGAAGCGAATGTTCAAACCTTTTCCAAGTGGTCTTCTAAGTGATAGACTTGAGGCGGGATTTCGGTGAAGTCTCTAGCTGGTAGACTCAGGAAACCGGTCTTACGAGCTCCGCGAAGAGCTAAAGCAATCTGATTTCGCGCTGGAGCTAGCACAACATTTTTCTGCCAAAGTCTTCCTTGCATATTCTGCCTTTTGATATAAACCAAATCACGAAACGGCGCAAGTATTTTTCTCAACTTAAATCCGATTTAAGCAAATCTCCACAAAAACTTTCTATACTTTCCACAAAGCGACTATTCAGCTTGGCTATATCGAAAACATCCTTGAAGAACTTTGTAGTGTTATGACTTGCCTTTGATTTCCTCACACACAGCCTTTCCGTGCGATCTTTCCAAAACATTTTGTGAAAGTTTCCAGACACAAAATCAACTAACGTCATTTTCAAAGCTTGTTTTGCTCACATTTTCGTAGGAGGCGAATTTTGAGCGATCGCGCCATGGCCAACTCCTTTTTCAGCGCAAATCGCTTCGCAGCAGAAATGGCGAAATCGTCCAGCAATTGCTCGATTTTCAAGATTTTCGCGTTCAGCTCCGCCAACACTTCATCTTCAGGTAATCTGAACAGTGCTGGACCAGCTGCTGATACTGGCATAGATGATAGTGGCTGTGATTGCTTGGTCAAAGCTAAAGCTGATGGCTCGAGGCTTGGATTAGATGGTAATGCATCTATACACGAATTCACCTTTTTTACCACCTCTTGATTACTCATGGGGCTCTCAGTTTTCTGGTTCGATAAAAGCGCACTATCAAGCGTATCTGAAGCCTTGGTGGATGCTGATGAGCCTGTAGGTGGTACAACGTCTTTAGGTAGTCGCATGCGAAGATACTTGAGAATAGCCTCAGTGCCACTGTTGATAATTTGAGTTCGAATACCCCGCTGAGGATTTCCAGCAAGGTAAAGAGCCCTAAGATTCACACAGAGCGCAAGCTCTACTGGGATCTAAACAATACAATATTGAGCATATTAATCATTACTGTTCTTTATAAATTCGCAATACCTGACGCAGCTCGTTATTTTCCAGCGAAAGCGATGCAATCTTTGGTATCCGATGGACAGCTCCACAAGAATCTAGCTGTATATATTGTTCAGTTATCTTCATTGGTAACGTGCTGAAAAAAAAAGCAATATTTTCTCTTACACAATTGTTTGCAGCGCTGAGCACAGTAAGATTTTGCAGTGAGGACCACGGAAATGTGTTGAACGTGCGAATATGATTAAAAGACAGCAAAAGTTTGTCCATCATTTTCAGAAATTGCAACGCTTGCGGAACTTCGGTCAGCTCATTGTTGCGAAGATCCAACTCTTTCAAAGATGTGCAGATTTTAGCACGTTTATCCAAGCATAGCATCATATTAATACCATCTGACGTAAGCAAATTTTTGGAGAGGCGCAAATGCTCTAAGCGCGAAATCATAGTGATCGATGCATGAATTGACTTTAATCCGCATTGTTCTGCGGTTAGAATACGCAAAGAGTCCAGGTCGCCAATAGCAGCAGGCAACTCAACCAGCAAGTTCTTAGACAAGTCCAGCTGGAGCAAAGTATCTCGGAAGCGATACTTTCCTGCTGCAAAAAGTTGCTCTGGTAAATGGCAAAGTTTCATAGCAACAAGCTGCATATTGCCCGATATATTTGCATCGCGAAACAAATGTTCGTAGTCTACACATGGATCTTCTTCGGCCATGGGTTCGTCCTGCCCCGATTCCGTCTGTTGTTTCGTGAGCTCGTCAATCTCCTCTTCCATAGCATCAACCCCTTTTGGTGGATTGCCACGAGTGCGCAAGAATTTTTTTAGCGTCTCTGTACCTCCTGAAAGAACCGATCGTCTAATCGATCGTAGCGGATTGCCCGCGACCAACAAGTGATCCAAATGCTTGAGATAGCCAAGCCCTGGAGGCAATTGGTGCAGGTCATTATTCGTGACATCAAGAGTCTTCAACCGGAATAGCTCGGGAATTCTGCTAGACAAACGTTGTAATTTGTTATCTCGAACATCGAGCACTGTGAGCGACTCCTTCACAGTGAGTACAACATCTTCCGGGATCTCCCCGAGTAGGTTATACCCTAGAAGAAGCTGATCCAAGCTTGTGTTATTCCTCGGTAGTTTTGGGAATACTAAAAGTTTATTTTGACGCAAATCAATATACTTGATCAATCTCAGCTCTTGAAAGGCGCCATTTACAGTTGATAAGCTGTTATCTTTTAATTCCAGCGTCAATAATCCTATCAATGAACGAAATGACATCGGAAGCTCTTTAATTTCATTCGAGTGTGCCGATAACAGCTTTAAATTTTTCAGATTCCCGATGGTCGAAGGTAACGCTGCCAATCGATTGCTCTCAACTCGGAGTTCCTTCAAGTCAACCAGTTCACCTATCGATTCTGGTAATTGCGTCAGCTTATTGCCCCCCAGTCCCAGTTCCCGCAATTTGATTAATATACCCAACTGCTCTGGTAAAGCCCCTTCCAACTCGTTGCTGTAAATAAGCAAACAAACGACGTTCAATTAGTACCAAAATTTACTATCGACCCCAATTATATTCTTACCTGCTGAGGTCAAGACTTGTCAGCATTTCCAGGTTCCATATAGTTGTCGGCAGTTGCCGCAAGAGGTTGTGGCGTATTTTAAAATTCACAAGATACTTGAGCGTTTCTACTTGACTTGGAATCTCGGCGATCTCATTATAGCTGTCAAAAAAATGTTAGATATTCAATTCAAACAGCATACCATATCAATCTCTATTTCCCGTACCTAAGATCAAGCTTCTTAAGCGCTACGCATTCCCAACTGTTCTCATCTTCGTCAAGCTCATCGTATAGCCGAAATATCTCGTCGGGAAAAGCGCGTAGGTCTCTTGAAGATAGATTTAAGGTGCCCGATTGCCGAGCTTGCCGCAACGTGCGCGCCATAGCGTACTCTTCAAGAGTAAAGGAACGTACTGCTGAGCGCTGCTTCACATCGCGGAGGCTGACGCGCGACGGCATGAGTAAAAATTTATAGAAATTTTCAGAAAAGGTACATCTAATAGTGTACAATTGTACGAACTTCACATTGCACTTTTGTGTAGTTGTGAATATTCATTAGTACCATATCTATGGAGATGATACATGTAAGCTGCTAGCGCCAGAACGAGCACTTACTTTCAGTACCTCTGGCAAAGGGGACTTACTAACATAAGCAAATATGAAGCGACATTTTGCCACCGGTGTTCATAGTGCGCTCAAAATTTTTGCCCTCCCGTTGACGTCGAATGAGTCGAGAAATAGCGACGAAGTCCAGGAGTTGAGAGTCTGTTTCGCTGCAATGACCTCAGACTATTTTTCGGATATATGCAGCAAAGGCATAACCAACATGGAAAGATATGAAGCGACATCCTGTCACAAATATTTGTAGCGCTTGACATGCGTATCGTGCAGCGGGGCTGCCGTAGCAAAACGCTTGAGGAAGCGTACTTTAGGTCACCGATCT